GCCATCTTTCTCAAACTCTTCAAAAAATTCAAAGAGGAAAGAATTCTTCTTAATTCCTTTTATGAGGCCAGTATAACATTGATAACAAAACCAGACAAAAACAGCACAAAAAAATAAAATTCCAAGTCAATTTCTCTGATGAACATAGATACAAAACCTTTAATAGAATATTAACAAACAAAATCCAACAATACATTAAGATCATATACCACAACATAATGAGAATTATTCTAGGAAAGCAAGCGCCATCCAATATATGCAAATTCATATATGTGATTAATCAAGTTAACAAAATTAAAGAAAAAGATAAAAATTAAAGATAAAGACAAAGATCATCTCAATAAATGCAGAAAAGACATTTGATAAAATTCAGCATCCATTTATAAGAACTGTCAATAAAAAATGGGTATAGTAGGAACACATCTAAAAATAATAGAGGCTATATGTGACAAATCCATAGCCAATATCATATTCAATAGGGAAAAACTGAAGACTTTTTCTCTAAGATAAAGAATGAGAAAAGGACGCCCATTCTCACCACTATTATTTAACATAGTACTGAAAATTCTGGTCAAAGCAAATAGGCAAGAAAAAGAAATAAAAGCTGGGCCTGCCCGGTGGCGCAGCAGTTGAGCGCTGGGTTGCGAAGCTGCCCCCAGCCTCTGCTGCACCGGTTTGAGTCCTGACTGCCAGCGAGGGTCCCACATGGCATGCAGACCTCTCCTGCCGGGACTGCTGCTCACCTCAGCGGTGTATTTCTTTGGTCCGCCTATTCTGTTCCCCGCTCTGGCTCTGGTGAATTCTCTCACCCTCCCACACTTCTGACTGTACCCAGTGCTTGTATAAATAAATAAATAATAATAAAATCTTTAAAAAAAAAAAAAGAAATAAAAGCTATCCAGATTGAAAAAGCAGGAGTAAAACTGTAATTATCTGAAGATGACATATTATATGTAGAAAACCCTAAAGGTCACAACCAAAAAAAAAAAAAAAAAAACTGTTGAAAATAATAAATGAATACAGTAAAGTTGCTGGCTACAAAGTCAATATACAAAAATATGTGATGTTTCTATATACAAACAATGAACTAACAGAAAGAGAATTAATGAAAACAATACCATGTATGATTGCAACTAAAAGATTAATATACGTAGGAATAAATTTGACAAAAGAAATGAAAAACCTTTACACTGAAAATTAAAAAATTCTTAGAATTAGAAGAAATTGAAGAAGACACAAAGCAAGGGAAAGACATTTTGTGCTCATGGACTGGGAAAATCAATATTGCCAAAATGGCCATTTTGCCTAAAGCATTATACAGATTTACTATAATCCCTACTAAGATGTCAATGGTATTCTTCACAGATATAGAACAAAAAGTCCTAAAAATTATATGGAACCACAAATAGCAAAACCAATCCTGAGAAAAAAGAACAAAAATGATGTATCATGTTCCCTTGCTTCAAAATATACTACAAAGTCACAGTAATCAAAGCAGGATGGCATTGGAATAAAAACAGGTACACACATCAATGATCAAGAATCATGAATCCAGAAATAAAACCACGCATATATGGACAACTAATTTATGACAAAGGAGCCAATAGCACACAATGTAGCAAGGAACATCTCTTCAATAACTGGTGCTGAGAAAACTGGACAGTCAGGTACAAAAGAATGAAACTAGACCATTACCTTACACCACATACTAAAATAAACTCAAAATAGATTAGAGACTTTAATGAAAGACCTGAAACCATAAAACACTTAGAAGAAAAAAACAGGCAGCGAATCTAAATAGGGATTTCACCAAAGAATGTATACAGATGACCAACTGACATGAAAAGAGTTTCTGTATCACTTATCATTAGGGAAATACCATCAAAATCACATTGAAATGTTACCTCACACCATGAGAAAGGATATTAAAACTCAAGAAGTCATAAATTTTAGTGAGGACATAGAGAAAAGGAATCTTCATGCACTTTTTTGTTTTTTGTTTTTTGTTTTTAAGATATATTTTTTAATATTTATTTATTTATTTTGTAGAAGAACTGAGGTGTAGCCCAGAGGTGCAGGGAGTGAGAGGATTCTCCAGAGACAAAGTGGGAGCAGAACAGGCAGATCTACTAAATACACTGCTGAGGAGAGCAGCGGGTGAGACAGGAGAGGTCTGCTACACTATGTATGAGTCAGCTCCCTGGCCAGGGATTGAACTTAGGCCCAGGCTGTAGTGGTGATAGCACAGAAACTTAACTCCTAGGCCACCAGGGAGGCCCTTCATGCACTGTATTGTGGGTGAACTGATACAGCAACTGTGGAAACTCTTCAAAAAATTAAAAATAGAACTACTGCATGATCCAGTAATTCTACTTTGGGGTATTTATCTGAAGAATATGAAAACACTAATTTGCAAAGTAATATGTACCCCATATTCATTGCAGAACTATTCACGATAGCCAAGATATGGCAACAACCCGAGCGCCTGACAATGGATGAAAGGATAAAGAAATTGTGGTATGTACACATATGGAATATTATTCAGTCATTAACAAAATGAAATCTTGCCATTTGTGACGGCTTGGAGAGACCTTGAGGTGATTATTATGCTAAGTGAAATAAGTCAAAAGGAAAAGGACAAATACCATATGATTCCAGTCATCTGTGAAATATAAAGGGGGGAAAACAAATGAAAATCAAAACAAAAACAAACCTTTAAACTCTGACAATAGAATGGTGGTTACCAGAGAAAAAAGTGGGAAGGGAGTAGAGAGAGGGTGTCAGTTAGCTGGTGGTGGATAGTGACTGGGCATTTGGTGATGGCAGGTTATTTACAGTCACTGAGATGAGAACATGTGCTCCCGAAACCTATACAGTGTGGTAAGTTGTTACTACCATAAACAGTAAGTGGGAGATGTCTTGTTTTTATTATTTTTTTAAGATTTATTTATTTATACAAGAACCGGGGTATAGGCCAGATGAGCAGGAGGGTGAGAGGATTCACCAAAGACAGAGTGGGGAGCGGAACAGGCAGACTGATGAAGTACACTGCTGAGGGGAGCAGCAGAAGAGACAGGAGAGTCTGCCACGCCACGTGCGACGCTTGCTGGCCAGCAGGGATCAAACTGGTGCTGCAGAGGCTGCGGACAGCTTCACAGCGCGGCGCTAAACCCTAAACCGCCTGCGCCACCAGGGGAGGCCCTGTCTTGTTTTTAAAGGAACATAAAAGACCCTCTCTTCCATCATCCTGAAGGAAGACTTTATCATTATATTTTTCAGAAGGAGAAATTAAATTCAGAGAAGATTAAGTTTTGCATCCAAATCACTCAGGTAATGAGAGTTGAGTTACAATTTGACCCTAAGAAAAAGGAACTGGAAAAAATACTCCTAAATATTTAAGAGTAGTTGTCTGTTGGAAGTAGCATTATGGCTGCTTCTAATTTTCTTCTTTATGTTTCTCTGTATATCCCAATTTTCTCTACTGGGCAGTTGTTACTTGTATAATGAGCAAAACAGTCAACAAAATTATTTAAGTTAATGAGAGCCCAGGATGAGGGCTGGAAGCAGAAACCAGAGGCAGTGAGAAGAGCTCTCTGTGGGAGTCAGGGCATCGGCGCAACTTATCATCGACACAACTGACATTCCCAGCTTCAGACTGACATCAATCTGACCATCCAAAACTGGGAAAACTTTATTTCTAAGCTGAGGTACGGTTGCTAGTGAGATGGGAAGGAAGGAGGCAGGCAGCGCAGGTCAGAATTGTGGCCGCTGATAGCCTAGGGAAGTTCAGTTTAAAGGGCCTTGAAAGGGAGCACTGATGTGATAGTTGGTCACAAAGACAAAGACATCATCCAGAAATAAGCTAAACCTGGAGAGGCCAGAATTCAAGCTGGGGACAGAGAAGCCTCAAGAAAGGGTTTGTGTAGCTCCCTGGCCAAGGCTTTGCACCTACACTCTGCCCCTGCATGTTTTTAGCCCATTACTAGAGCCCATTGTAAAGTTGGTGTTGCCATCAAGACCCCTGATGCGAGAGTCTGAGAATCTGAAGCAAGAAAGAGAGCAGGGCTCAGAGAGGACAGTGCTCACAGCCAAGGAGGAGGAAGGAGGAAGGGCAAGGCTCCTCATGAAGTCACAGTCCCTTTATGTGGAGGACAGAGGTGTGGAATCAGATGGATGTGTGCATGGAGTAGGAGACAGAGCTGGGAAGGCATTCAGCAGGAGAGAGGCCAAGTTCCCACTGACATTTTTCTTCCCAAAAAAGCAAGAGGACTTTGGATGAGAGGAGATTCAAACTCACTCTCACCATTGTTTCTGATCCCAAAGCACCAGAAGTAGACATTGCACGTAAAAACCTTTATTTGTAGAAATACATGTTGGCTATATAGGAATCCATAGCTGGATAATATAGAAGTGTGGGGTTGGCAATTTAGGTGGGGCAGTCAGTATTGCAGACAAGTCTGTAATTTTACATTAGGACTTTCTTTCACAACCCATGTTTAGTAGCCATTGGTTCAGCTTTAAATATCTCAGAAAGCATTGGTAGTAAGTAAATATGTCCTTACTTTAATTAGAATGAATAACCCCAGCCATCCCCTTAGAATTCAGGAGGTTTGTTTACTGTTTGAAAATATATGACTAATTCTATTTAGGTTATAAATATAATCTGCAAAATTTTTTTTAAAGTCAAGGACAAGAATGAATTAAGTTGAATAACAAAAATAAATAAATATATAAACTAATAAATATATTCAACAATAGAAAAGATATTCCTAGAATCTTACAAAAACCATGGCCTAGATTAAAAGCGAAGCACATAAAAACAATTACAATAAGGAAACAAGTAATAAATAAATAAATAAATAAATAAATAATGTACGTGGGGACTAGCACTAAATTTTGCAACAAAGAGATGATGACTTGTGATCAAACTTCAGCAGGTATTTTGGAGACTGGGACTCTCAGTTAGGAAGAAATATGCTTGTTAGTATCATCCATTCTTCCTAGTCCATCTCCTCCATCCAGTTCAGAAGAATGTCCAGCTCTCCCAAGGCCTTCACCACTGCTGCATGAGGGTTAAGCTGAAAGACACACACCTATGTGGTAAGTATCAAAGACACAACATGTGCTCCAGTCCTATCCTCTCATAGGCTTTTCTTACCTGCAGAAAAGCATAATTTCTTGGGTAATAGATAATTATCATTAACATCAAATTACTGTATTTTATAGTTCTATAGACCTTTTGCATGGCGCATATGCCCAGAGGACTGTACTCAGAACATTCTTTTCAAAATACAGAGTTTTACAGAAGTTGTGGAACCTCAAGATTTCCCAAGAGAAAAGAAAATCATTGAGACCATTACCTTGGTCTTCATGGGAATGTGAGGTGGGGAGGTGAAAGGGAAGAGAAAGGAATGTGGCATAATTGGGACTACAACACATGCCTCTTAACTCACAGAGATCAAAGTAATTAGACTGTTTAAAAGAAGTGTGTGTGTGTGTGTGTGTGTGTACGTAGGTAGGTAGGTGGGTAGGTAGGAGTCGCCTACTGTGCTTCCACTGAGTAAATATTTATTGGGCTAAGCATTCAGTTGACTATAGATTCAGAGATGAACGGGACAATCCCTACTCACAACTAATTCACAGACAAGTGAGGAACACAGGCAGAAGCAGGCAATTAAAATATAGTGTGGTTAATAGATGGTGAAGTCCCCACAGGACAGAAGGGGAGGCACCTAATCCTGACAAACAGCCAATACCTTCCTGGAGATGATGTCTAGGCTGAGTCTTAAAGGATGAATAGGAATTAGTCATTGAGTAGTAGACTCCGGGCCTCCCTGGCACCTGTACAAAGGCATTGAGATGAGAAGATAGCTTTGAAATTTGAGTGAATTTTTGAGGGCATGTGTAAGTGTTAAAGTGATGAAAAACTATTGTATTTTGTTTGTGTAGCTGGAGTGTGTCCATCTTGCTTATATGCCCACCCCAGCTCTGGTGTAACCCCTTCCCACAACCCCCTATAGAAAGAGGAAATTGGATTCCTAGGTCCTATTCATAGCCTATCTTTGAGATTGTGTCTCTTGAGTGATAGGATAGAATCATTATGATCCCTGTTAGTTCTTAGAGCATCTTCCAGAGAGATCACCTTCTGCAGCCTAGATAGGTGTCTCCTGGGTTAAAGCAGAGGGATAGTCCCCATGATCTCAGAGAGCTGTTAACCTGGGGCTCCAGGATCTCTACCAGCATGAATATCCACACCACCCCCCATATTCTCAGTTCTGAAAACATCCATCCCAACCCAACCAAGTCCAAAATTGCTTATACCTCCTCGAAGTGACTCAGAATCTGGCTGTATTTCTCCATTGCTTCCTCGCTGCAGGGACATGTCCTGTGGGCATGCTGAAAAGAATGCCAAAGAATGATAGATTAGTCTTATTTACTGCCCTTGCTATTGACACAAAGTACATGGGAATTCTACTCTTTCACTCACATTCCTATAGATATTCCCATTCCTATAGAAAAGTCTTTCAGACCTGATCATTTGAAATAATTAAATTAACCACCAGCTAAAAGAGGAAGCCAGATTTTCAGGTTCAAATATGGAACCACAGATTCATTTTAGAGACAGGCAGGACCTAAGGAGTTTATGATCACTATGTCCATCTTGCCTGCACACCCACCTAGCTCTGGCCTGGCTCCTACCAAGTGACCTCCTTTGAAAAAGGAAATTGGATTCCTAGGTCCTAGTCATACCCTGTCTTTGAGATTGGGTCCAATGGCCTGCTGATTAGCTGCCTGAACACATCATGCACTAGTACACTGCAAGAAATCTTACCTGCAGAAAAGCATAATTTCTTGGGTAATAGATAATTATCATTAACATCAAATTACCAGTATTTTATAGCTCTATAGACCTTTTGCATGGCACATATGCCCAAAAGCCAGTAAAACTGAGCTCTTACTACCGAGTCACATGGATCATTAGAACTTTTGGACTCAGCATGTCTGTCCATTAAATGGGGTAAGAAAGAGCTCAGTTGCTAAGTCACTGAAGCTATGTGCTGAGATAGGTCCTATTACCTAAAATGCTTACACAGAGCCGGAGGTCCTTCTTGATGGTAAGAAAAGAGTTGGCAAGACCACTGATCTTCCGGAGGGTGTAGTGGTCAGGCATCTGATAGTTTTTGAATATCCTCTCCAGGTAGAGTCTCAGTATGTGGCGGAGGAGGCAGCACTGATTGGCAGGCTACAAAAAAGTTGTATGTTGGTGGGGGAGGCTAATCAGGGACAAGACCCAGAGCAATGAGCTGTCCTCCCCTCACATTTCCTCCCACAACTATCTGGGCTAAGCACATACCTTTGCATCTCTCAAAGACTCAGTCTTCCTCAAGATTCTGGTATCTATGATTTCATCTTTAGCTTGCTAAAGAGAAAAAGTCAAGGCAAGTAAGGACAGGTCAGTGACTATTGCCAGGGTCCTAGACATCAAGACCTCTTATCCCCCCCTTGTTATGACTAGTGGGAATGTCCCTCTCAAAAACACTTTAAAGTCATGAACAACAGATATTTCTTTGGAATGCACCCTCCTGCTAGCGAGTCTGCAGGGTGCCTCTCTGGAGTCATACTATCCCATGGCTTTGGGATAAAGGAAGACCAGTAAAGAAGGTGAGAGGCAGTCATGAGGTAGGAGTTGGGGGTACCTTGCTCACATACCACACTGTCCCGAATCTCAGAAAATCCATTTCGCATTTCCTGAAGGTTTGTAGTGATGATACAGCTTCCCAAAGAGAAAGTCTTCAGCCCAGAAGAAGGTGTCCAGAAGTGATGAAACACAGCACAGAGAAGGCAAAGGGCAAGACCAGAACTTTTCATTTTGTGCCAGAATCTGGAGACCAAAGGAGCTAGGAATCCAAAGGAGAGAGCATGACTTACCGATTTGCCCATCCCATATCTTAAGAAGTCAATCCCGTCACCATATAAAACATAATAGCTTTATCTGACTTCACACTGTCTGGCCTTACTAGGAAAAGTTGCTGTGCCTCCTCAAAGAGAAGCCTTTGGATCTGTGTGTGAGTTAACACTGCAAGTTCCAGCTCCTTTATTCTGTGCCTATCCTGGCCCCATCATCACTGCCTGCAGGTAAGGCCTGGAGCATTAGGCACTTGCAGTGAGTAGACAGAGGATGACATTTCAGGGAAAGTGTCAAAACTTGTTTTGGAGAATTGACGTATGCAGTCTTCCTGTTGTCTTCCCTTCCAAAGTGCCAAAGTAACTCACCCGTCTGGTCTCCTCAGCCCACAGGGATACTGATGGATCCAGAACCTCACAGAAGCTATAGCTGAGCCACCAAAAACACTTGGGGGAAATTGTCTGGATTTAGTAACCACCATCAGGCCAATGGAGGGTAACTGTGTTTGGCAATTTAGGGATAATAGGTTTATTTCAGCCTCAAATGCAAATAGAAAGTCAATGATTTCATAACAATCCTGCTGCCAGGGAAAGGCAAGATCTGATGGGCAATCAGCCCAATTCCACCTCACTCTTCTCCCTACCCAGGTAGCTGAGCTCCATAGTGCCCTCTTTAGGAAAACTTTAGGTAGACAAGCACACCTGGGACAAATCCAAGAGCAGCTTTCTTGGCTCTGTAACTAGAGTCAAAGACCAGGCCAGGTCAGGGCCTCGTGGTGCCCTAGGGGTAAAGTCTTAGCACTAGCACCTCCATGCCTCAGTTCGATCCCTAGTCAGGGAGTTAACCCATATGGGGCAGCAGACTTCTTCTGTCTTGTCTGCTGCTCCCCTTAGCATATTTCAATAGATCCGCCTGTTCTGCTCCCCACTCCGTCTCTGGTGAGTCCTCTCACCCCCACACTCCCACCTCTGCATCTCTGGCCTGTACCCCAGTTGTTCTACATGGGGAAAAAAAAAAGACCAGGCCAGGTCAACTGTGTTGGAAAGACTCGAAGGAAAATCACTTTCTTGGGGTAAGCATGCTCAGAAAGGGGGCACTTTACGGTGTTTGCTGCATTTTAAGATAAAATCATAATAGGCTAGAAATAAGGGGAGGTGAGTGAATCTCAGGCACAAAATTTAAGGGAAGCACTAAAAAGTCTCAGTAATCAAGATAAATAATATTTTAAGGCAATGGAAAATTAATGAAAAAGCCATGATGAAAAAACATTTTAAATAGAAACTGACAATGCCTTGCTGAGCTATGTTAGAACCTAAGATAAAAAGGGAAACGAGGATTTCTTTCAGTCTAGCTAGCTAGCTCTAAACCTATACCTGTAGATATATATGTTTTATGTATATTTAATGGTTAATTTTTTTCTCAGAAATATATAAACCAGGAAGATAAAATTATAATACATTTTCTTTAGGGCATAAATAAAATATTTAAATATAAAATAACATTGTTGTATATGTATATACATATATATAAAACAACAAAGTATATTTAGATTCCAAAATATAACGCACAACACTGATAATCATTACCACTGACTGAATTTTCCTATGTGCCAGGCAATACGCTAGATACATTTTACATTCACATTCACCTGAGATACTGTCAAATGTAGAAAAGGGGAATAAACAAACCAAGCTAAAAAACATCATAGAGAACTCTGGCTTTGGAGACAGTGAACCAGATCCAAATTCCTGCTCTACATGTTCCCATTGAGGTAGGCTGGCTCAGTTTGCCCAGGACTGAGAAGGGTCCTAGGACACAGGACTTTCTGTTTTAAAACTGGAAAAGTCACAGGTAAACTTGGATGAGTTGGTGACTTACATCTACGTGACCTTCAACAAGTCAGCTTACCCCTGAGTTTTGTTTCCTTAGCCCCAAATTGTGATCATTAAAATTACCCCAGAAACCTGTTTTGACATTTAAATAAAAAGAGACATGATTTATACCACCAGCACATAGTGAGAGATCAATTTCCTTTAAGCAGAGATTAATGATACAGAGAGTGTCTAGTAAATATATGTTAAATTCACCAATTCAATCAGCATGTACTGAGCACTCACTGTCTTAAATATTATGCTAGCTTTTGGAGGACAAAGATAAACATGGCAATTCCTATCCTCTAGGAGATTTTTGTCCTAATAGAAAGGGCTCCTTTAGACAGGACATGAACGTATCTAGCTCAATGATTAGGAGGTTTGGGTTGATCCCCAAACTGTGAGTAGTATAGAGAGAGGGCAGTCTCTTACCTGAGCCTAGGAAGGGCTGCTGCTTCTGGGTTCCTACAAGTCTATCTTATGCTGAGAGACATCTAACTTTATATGTGAGCATGTGTGTGTGTGTGTGTGTGTGTGTGTGTGTGTGTGTGTGTGTGTGTGTGTGTGTGTCTGGGTGATAAAGGAAGTGAGCTCCTTCAGGTGAGGATTGAAACGCCCTTGGAATTTCTCAGGTAGCATCGCACTTCCTCCCACTCTAAGGCAGCTCTGAGGCTGGATTAATTTAACACCTCCCTCCTCTAAGAAAACTTGTAGAAGAGATTACTGATTATATCTCTGGATAAAGGATGTGACTTTTTGTGGCTCCCTTCCAAAAGGGAAGGCACAATTGTAATTAGAAGAGAAAAGATCACTGAACTGCAATTAAAACAAAGTTCCAGGAGGTGCTTTTGTCTTCTTTAAATTCTAGTTCTCGGGCCTCCTCGGTGGCGCAGCGGTTGAGCGCTGGGTTGCCGAGCTGCCCGCAGCCTCTGCAGCGCAGGTTCCGTCCCGGGCTGCTCCCCGGCCACCGGAGGTGGAGGGTCCCATATGGCGCACAGACCTCTCCTGCCGCCCGCTGCTCCCCTCAGCAGTGTCCTTCGGTCCTTCTGCCTGCTCTGCTCCCCGCTCTGGCTCTGGTGAGTTCTCTCACCCTCCGCGCTTCTGACTATACCTGGTGCTTGTATAAATAAATAAATGGATCTTAAAAAAAAAAAAAAAACTCTAATTAAATTTTAGTTCTCCTTAATTAGGTTTTTCCCAGCCTCACAAACTGTGGGCTCACTTTAGCTGCTTCTTTGCCTTTGCTGTCCCCACTATTTCTTTCCAACAAAATGGCTACCACTCTTTCTCTCCATGTGTCATTAAAAGCCCACCCAGTAAATGGCTTACTCGAAAATAACACCTCTTTCTTCTATTAATATTGATGTGCAGATTGTAAGACCCAGGAAAGCAACATGGTGGCAGTTACTTAATGGCACCATGGGGACATCAGCCAAGACCTCCCAACTTGGAGTTCAACAACTCCCAACTCCTTCTGTTAAACTGTATGTCTTGGGGGAAACAAGGGCCTAAGGAAGTGGTAGCAATGAGGGTTCTGGGAAAAGGATCCCTGGTTCTACCCTTAGTGCTTCTTACAAGGGAGAAGTTCAACAAATGTTTAATAAAGAGAAGAGACAAATGACTGTCTCCCCTGACTGAAAATCTTTCAAAATACGTAAGGCACTGAGTCTACAATACATAGAGGATCTCTCTTGCTCTAGCATTTCCCACCATCCTTTCCAGCACTCCTCAATCACTGGGATGATTCCTTTCTGCCTTAGGCAACACCAAGCTGCTTGAGGACCTGTCTCATAGGTGATAATAGGATGGATGTAGTTACAGATTTTGTGAAGCAAACGATTAATGGTTTTAATCCATCCTCAGGTCCTGAAATCAGAAGGTTTTCAAATATCCCAATATAACGAAATTCATATCTTTCTTTTTGAAGCATTCATTTTAATCATATCATGTCTAAGAATGTATTCATTCACCATTGCTAATAGTTGCCAGTGCCAGAAATAATTTCAAATTATCACCACACTTTCTATAACATGACCATCCCCCTGAAATTGTCACATAAGGACAAAAGTGAAATGACGTTTTATTGTGAGTCTCTGCCCTTTACAGTCTGGTACAATCCCAGAGTCTCTAGAGGAGGCAATGACCCGCAGTGCCTGAGCTCCCTGAGAGACCCTCACACCTAGATGAAGAGAAGTAGAAGTGATTGCAAGTATATTGCGTACAATTCCCTCATTTTACAAATAGGGAAACCATATGTCAGAGGAGTTAGTAACTTGTTCAAGGTCACTTCCTGATAAAAGACCCAAAAGTTGAAATAAAGCAAGTTTCTTTGCATAAAATGACACTTAACCCACCATGAGCTACTCTCCCATAGCAAATAACTTCCCTTTAAAGTAAGGCCATCTTGTAATTCTGGCCAAAGAAATGAATCTTCCATGGAAAGAAAGTAGAGGGTGTTAATGCTGAAGGTTTCATGAGCCTGAGATCCAGTAGGCCAAATTTTAGTACACTCTCACTACCAATTGTCAGGATGATTTTGTGTGACCCTAGTGCCAATACCTTCCAGGCATTTACTGATTAATAAAATGGAAGATAAAACCTGCCTTGCCTGTCTGGCTCACCAAATTGGCAGGAGGATTTTTGTATATTCATAGTCCTGTAAACCTGTAGTGTGAAAGGTATTTTTACCACTTCTCATGTCTGATAGCTTTTAAGTTATTCTTTTGAAAAGCATTCACTCAATGCCTACTGTGTGCAAAATACTATGTGCAAAACTCTGATGCTGTGAGAATTAGTGATGCCTGAATCAGGACTCTGATGCCAAGCTGCTTGTGACCTCACTGGGTAAGAGCATGTGCTTGCAGAGCCACGGAGAGAGGCAGGAATTACTTGCTGAGGAGCACAGAGCAGGGCGGGCTCACACAGAGGAAAGTTCAAGCTGAGTCTTGAAGTATGGGGGGAATTTAAAAGAACAAAGATGGTGGCGCGAGGTAGGGAAGGGAGGTGGGGGTCCAACAAAGGACATTCAGGAAGAGATGAACTGGGACAGCAAAGCTGACAACATATTTGAGGGCTGGCGTGTGGACTGACTC